AACAGGTAGAATAAATTTGATTGAATTTTAATCGAAGCCAAGATGCCTTGTTATCAATAAGATAAGATTGAATATATTCAACTAGCTCTGTTAGACCTAAGTCGTTGTAAAGAACCAAAAGATCAATTATAGCGGATGGTTCAACCTTTTCTAATTGAATTGTGCCAGTGTAAATATATCTAAGTTAAAAAAAAACCTTTAATTAGTACACAACCGATTTTGGATCGCCAGATATGCTATTTCTCAAAAATAGCTTAAATAATTTGTATTTTGGACAAAATACTTAATAAAACCACAGTATTCAGATCTTTAAAAAAATCTTAAATTCTAATACTAATTTAACTTGAATAACATCATTGCAATAATAAAAAAAAGAATATATAGGCGAGTTTCGCCTCTATGAATTTGTAATAGTTGATTTTCATTATAAAAAATATTAACTTACTTAATTAAAATTTTAAAAGCTTCAACAGGAATATTAGTTAAAGTGATTTCAATAATAATATTCTTTTTAGTTGCTGTTGATAATTCTTTACGAAAGAATGATGAACGCTGATATAAAACTAAAGAATGTAACTTAAAATTTTGTTGCCCAATTTTAACTATAACATTATAATCATATTCACTTTCAAGAAGTTGTGCAAAATCATTGGAGAACCGCTCAAGTAATTTAGTGCCAATTTGCGACATTTGAAAAAGTTAACGTTAAATTTCAGTGTCTTTGCGGCTACAATAATATATATGGTAGTACAGTAACGCAAGGGTGTAACGTAGTAATCAGAATTAGGTTTAGCAATGTTATATAACTTTTATGGGAAGAGCAGAGCCAACGTCAAGAAAATTTTCCGCACTTCAAAATTACATGTTTTAGACTTTGAAGTGCGGCATATTAATTAGATTATATATTTATTTGTGCTATTTGTTTTATTGCACACATTTAAAAAAAAAATTGTGCGCAGCAGCCCACAATTTTGATGCAGTGCTGCTGTTACGCAAAAAGACGTAACAAAGTAACAATCAGTATATATGATTATTGTTGTTATTGAAGATATTAAGATGATTCTTTTATTTTATTTATTTTTCTTCTGGTAATAGCGAAAGATTTAATTTAAATGCTGCATGGATATTTAGTAAATAATTTGAAAAAGTGAGAATGTAAATATAAGTTTTTAATTTATATATCGAAATTTGTGCTTCTTTAATTTATCCTAAAAAATAAATATATCGATATATTATTAATTACTTAAAGCAAATAATATCACATGATTTGATGGTCCTGCGGGACCGCAAAATATATAATCATACGAATGTGTTCATTACTGGATTCAATATCGTTTTTTAAAACTGGGTGTGTTTTGCATTTCTCATAAGGTATCTGACCATAAGGACAGATTCTATGAGAATTGATGCTTTAGGGTGTTCCACCAACAAAGCCAGAAAATTACCGCCTTCCATTCGGCTTCAATTCCAATTTCGTTAACGTTAATTTGCCACAAAGGCTTTGATCTCACGAATTCGACGACTTGGTTTGCCTAACCTATGTCTCAATACATTGGCTAGTCTTTTACCATTTCGTACTTCTTATTTTGGCGAGCAAGACCTTTCTCTTACCCAGGTCCTAGTATCGAAGTGTTCCTTTACTCCTAGGGGTTTTACTCACTTCGCACTAACTAATAACACTCGCTTGGTTATATGGGACTTGAGTATCGTATCAAGTACTCCCCCTTTAATTCCTCGTACAATATATAATACAAACACACAGTTTATTCTTTCAGCGTCTCTTTATTATTTCGCTACTCAAGCTTTACCAGGAACGGAGTGATGCAATCATGAATACCAGGAACGGAGTGATGCAATCACGAAGTGTATGGTTTATACACTGTTTGGAGTGGGATTTGTCCGCAAAATCTTAATCATGATTGGTCCGCGTGACTTAATAGTCAAATTTTGTTTATTTTTCATGCATGAATGCATCGCGCCATTATTCTTCATGCCTTATATCATATCATAACCGCACATATAAGCAATATCACAGTTGCAATATCTAATAATAGTTAAAGCAAAAATTTTCGCCGCAAAAATTGGTGACCCGATGCAATTTGATTTTTCTATTTACCTAATATTTGGTATTTTTCGTTTTTTTTCGTAGGATCTTTTATCGGGTTGATGAAATGATAATTACTGATCGTCAAAGAAATTTACGATTATTATTGCTCGATCTAATCTTTATTACGAAGGAAAAAACATATGGGATTTGGGATCGCCACCACATAGTACTTCGAAGAGGATCGGTAAATTATGTTTGTTTCTTTTCTGTCTGCTCATGTACAAACAAATTATTGCTTGTAACCATCATCTTAACAGGCCACATATACTAAATAATCTGATGGGTTGGGTGGGGCGGGATGAAAAAACCTGGACAAATTTTGAATCATGCTATTTTGTCTGGGAAAAACCCATTCCCCTAAATTAAAACGTTGATTGGTAATCTTCGCGCGATCTACTAAGCAGTTTTATGTATATATTTATTAAGGTCCTTGCACTGCTATGCAGCCGTAGAGCCTTACGTATACCAATGCCTATTTGCATTATATGCTTAAGCCATTGATTTGGTGACCATTGAGCTGCTGCTTTCAGTCACTGAGCCACGATAGTACTAAAAATACTCTAATTCATATAGTCATTAAGCTGCAATTAAGGTCCTTGCACTGTTACGCAGTCATGGAGCCTTACATCTATCAATGCCTATTGGCATAAAATACTTACTCTATATCATGTATTAATTAAGGTCCTTGCACTGCTATGCAGCCGTAGAGCCTTACATATACCAATGCCCATCAGCATCATTTAATCAGTGGTCATTGGGCTGCTTTCAAGTCACTGAGCCACGATCGTACTAAACAAACTCTAATTCATAATAAAGTCATTGAGCTGCAATTAAGGTTCTTGCACTGCTACGCAGCCGTGGAGCCTTACAAATATCAATATCTATTGACATAAGATACTTACACACAAATTATAATGTTAATCTGTGGAAATTGCACAATCATACTACGCAGCTTTATATCATATATTCATTAAGGTCCTTGCACTGCTATGCAGCCGTAGAGCCTTACATATACCGATGCCCATCGGCATCATTTGATCATTGGTCACTGAGCCACAATCGTACTAAGCAAACTCTAATTCATAAAGTCATTGAACTGCAATTAAGGTCCTTGCACTGCTACGCAGCCGTGGAGCCTTATATCTATCAATGCCTATCGGCATAAATACTTACACTAAGTAACACTATGTCATGTATTAATTAGGGTCCTTGCACTGCTATACAGCCATAGAACCTTACATATACCAATGCCCATCATCATTTGATCAGTGGTCATTGAGCTGCATTCAGTCACTGATCCACGATCATACTAAACAAACTCTAATTCAAAAAGTCATTGAGCTGCAATTAAGGCCTTGCACTGCTACGAAGCCGCAGAGCCTTACATCTAGCAATATTTATTGACATAATATACTTACATACAAATTAAAACGTTGATCTGTAGCTAGAGATGGGCACGCGCGGGATCCGCGCATAATCCCGCGCGAGATTTTTAATATGATCACAAAATAAACCTATCTGGCCGGTATTAGCATATCATCTGGCAGCATTAACTTAATACCTGGCCCGCATTGACATAATTAGTAACTGAGCCATGTAATATTGTCAATTCATCTCATGATATGTAATAATATTTATAAAATATTAAATGATTTAGTAAGTAATTTATTTTCTTCGATTCTTTAATATGAAAAGCGATCATTGAAATCTGACAAATTAAATGATTCTTTTAAAGTCATAAAATTCAATAAACAAAAATATACATCGATTACCATAACCAATATTCCAGTATATAATAGATATTAGATCATTAATTTGGTTGTATTTTTTAGCTTTTTTAAAATGATATGTTGATTATCATTATATGTAATTAGCCAGAGCTTAGATTTCTTGTAGTGTTCAGTTTGAAATAATAATGAATTAATATTTGATAAATCTAGATGTGAGTTAATTTGTCTGGTGAGTTCATTAGAAGTTGTTTCTCTTTAAGTACTGTAAACTATAGAGGCTTACATCCTTTTGGAATTTATTGTATTCATGGTAATATGTGATTCTATACTAGCAAAGTAGAATTGACAAATAATGTTAGTTGTTCTAAATAAATAATATTTTTTAATCTAATTGTTTTTTAAATTATAAGTATGATTTGTGTATGTTAAGAAACTTTTCTATAAGTGTATAAGGGTATTGGAGTATGTATAGTTGGAGATAGTTTATATGTATATTGATAGATAATTGAAGTGTGTTAAGCAGTTGTATAATTTTAAAAGTTGTTATATTTTTATTAGGTCAATCAATTTGTAGGTAGTGGTATTGAAGAATATTAGTTGTAGACTAGAGATTGTTTTGTAATTGTTGAAGTTATATGTGAATATTTGATCTTATAAAGCTTTGATCATTTAAAATGAAGTAGGAAGTTGGAGATATGGTGTTGTAGTTGGTATTCTATATGTTTTTGATACTATATATATTATAATTAAGCAGAGTACTGTTAGATGTAGTAATAGGCAATTTGGTTTTATGTTTGGCTATGGTTAGATATTGTGAAAGAATTGAATTATATATAGTTCTAGAAAGTATAATGTTGTGTATATGATACTTCAAAATAGAAATAATAATGTTGTTAATAATGTAAGTAGCTTGTTTGTGGTAATGTTTTTTGTATTTTATTATAGTCTTAAAGACTTAATAATATAAAATTGATACTTATTACCACTGGTTATCATTATCAATAGTTATACAATGCAATAAATTATATGATAAATATATATAGTATGTACATATATACATACGTATACTAAGAACAAATTTTTTTTTACTACTTTAGTGACACTAATAGTTTAGTTATATTGATCATTCTAACTAGCCTTTGTCTTTCATTAAAGTTCAACGTATGATATTTGTCTTACTATTAGTTGACAAATTTTTAATAGAATTTAACTTTAACTTTTGGTTAGTACCGTTTTTCTTTCAAATCATCTTCAATCTATACCAGATAAAGCATTAGTGCTATTAGTAATTAGCAAATAGAAAGGGAAAAAAATTATCAGCAACAGGTCTGAAGAAGGTTTTCTTGACCTTTCAAATTCTGAATTCAACATTCTTATACATGCCAGTCTTGTTAATTCAGAGCTTTCTGGTTCTGTGAGTTTGGATTTTTCTAACTATATAAATTTGAGGTTTTCTGCTTCTGCAAGTTCTAGCCTGCCTGCTTTTGTTAACTTGAGGTTATCTGATTTCTTAGAATTTGAGTCTGATAGCATTTTGTCTGATGATAGCCTGCCTGCTTCTATTAATTTGAGGTTACCTGGTTCCTTGGAATTTTGAGTCTGGTAGTACTTTATCTGATGATAGCCTGCTTGCTTCTATTAATTTGAGGTTACTTGGTTTCTTGAACTTTGAGTCTGGTAGTACTTTGTCTGACAATAGTTTAGGGCCTAAGAATGTTTTACCTAGTGCTGCTGTGAGTTCTGTAACTAAAGATTTTTTGCTTGATAATATGAATTCTGGATCTATTGATATTTCACCTAGTGCAATGTATTCCAAGTCTGTTGATGATGCTATGTGTTCTGGATCTGTAGATGCTTCACCTGGTGCTATGTATTCTGAATCTGTAGATGTTTCACCTGGTGCTGTGTGTTTCAGGTCTGAAGATATTTCATTTGGTGCTATGTGTTCTGAATCTATTAGTAACTAAATAATTAAGCACAATTCAACTAAGTTAACATTACATAAAGAGGACTCTTTTGCTGATTGGGATGCTGTACAATGTGCTGTTGATATTTATTCAAAGCAATGTGGATTTATAGCTGTTAAGTTCTATAAGGATCTTGATGCAGTTGACAAAACTATTATTCGACGTCATGATTATGTTTGTTAGAAATTTGGTGTGAATAAAGAAAAAAAGTAGAGGACATTAGTGTATACTGTAATAGTGTTTCTAATAAGTTAAATTGCAAGTAGTTGATACATTTCTATTTAGTAAAATGCACAAATTTAATAACTATTACTAATATAGTGGATAAACATAACCATGTATGTAATGTAAGAACTATAGAATTAGCACCAAAACATTTGAGGTTTTCACAGTTAATTTTAAACAGAATTGAGAGCTATACTGTTGTTGGTCATCTTAGTGCAGGGCAATAATATAATCTTTTAGCAAAGGAATTTTCAGATCGATATATCAAGAAAAAAAATTTGTATAATGCCATTAGTAAGTTTAGAGGTATAAGGATTCATAAAATATCTAATGTAGCTACTATGCTGTCATATCTTTTAGATCAAAAAGATTAGTAACGATATAGTAAATTCATATATAGAAGTGAGTTCTAATGAATTTACAGGTATTTTTTGGGTGAATAGTAAACAACACAATGAACTATAGCCCAAGTTTCATGATATCATAATTTATGATAATACTGCAAAAACCAACTGATATGAAATGGCTTTAAGTATTTTTGTTAGAATTGACAATAATTTCAAATCAAGAATACTTGTACAAGCACTAACCAAATATAAAATGCAAGCTGATTATGAATAGATTTTGCATTGTTCATTAGAATCAACGAATAATCTTTTGCCCACGGTGTTGTTTACAAATGGAGATCTAGGCATGAGTGCTGCTATTAATATTGTATATTTAGAAACCCAACACTTACTATGCATTTATCACCTTGATGAAAATATAAAGAAAAAAGCGAAATCAAAGCTTCATGGTAATATAATTAATAATTTTATTAGTAATTTTTATAATATGAGAAATAGCTGAAGCAAAGAAGCTTTTGAATCAAGGTATAATGATATGATAACAAAATATAAACCTTGCCGCTCTTACTTTAAATCAAAATTATATTTATGTCATGAATTCTGGTCAAAGTATACTATCACAAAGGTATTTACAGCTGGTGTCGAATCAACCTAATAGGTAAAATCTATAAATAGCATTCTTAAAAAGCACCTTAACAGAAGCACTCTATTGAAAGAATTAGTGAAGGCTATTAAACAGGAATTAGAATAAGAATCATATTATATCCATATTTAGAACTATTATGGATCAAACCCATCATCTGGTCTTTCTTTAACATATAATACTATTTTTAAAGACATTGATTTAATATTAAAAAATTATTTGGAATCTATTTCACTTTCACTTCAACCAGCTCAGATGAACCAGTCACTTTTATATTAGACAAAACTAATTACAGCCAAACAAGTATGTATTTAAGTAATAGTTATATCCTGAGTAGTTGGGTATAAGCAGAAATAAAATTTCTGTTTATACCTGTAATTTTGATATAGCGACTAGAATATAATTAAAGCTATGTTTATTTTTGCTGAACGAATATTGTAGTAACAGTACTAAATACTGTATAATAATAAGTTTGAAGAATCTGATATTGAGATTAATGATATAATTAAACATCTATATGATATACTTCAAATTGGATTACAGGAGCTCTTATCTAATGTATCAAGTAGAGAAATACAAGAAATTTGGGAAGTTTTCTATATTGTAATAACTACAATTAAACTATACTATATTATAATCCTTGGAGATTTATCTTCTCTATATACATGCATGCAAATAATCAACCTGGGAATACTATACCATCATTAATTTCAAGTTTTAATTCAGTCATCTAAAGCAAGTTTTTATATTGGGCTTATTCATATATGTTGGTACAAGTCAATTTCACCAGAAATAAATGTGCAAACTATGATGATATTTAAAGAATCTGTAAGTTTTACATCACCATCATTATGTTATCTTAATCAAATCTGAGCAGCTAGTATATTTATGCTAACTATTTAAGAAACTGTTAATAAAAAATGTCAATTTGGTACTGCAATGTTAATTGCTAAAACAAGTGTTCAAATTGCAATATCAGAGAGTGTTATATCAGAGTTAATTGATATTCTTACACAATTTATATCAAAGTATCATTGTACCACTGGTTTGAATATAGAACCTTATAACAAAGAGAATGGAGATGATAAAACACAAACTAATATTTTCTATTTAATTTAATAACTAGCAACCTTTGACTAATTTGAATTTGAATTGTAACCTCATTGAAGTTTCTAATTCAGAATATCATAAATCTAAAGGTAACCCACCAAAAAGGTTCAAATCATCAATTGAGGAATTTAGTAAGCAAAAACATGAACAAAGAATATGCAGTTATTGTTTAAATAAAGGGTATAATATTTATAGATGTGCTAAATATAAAGCTGATATTACTAATAAAGAGAATTAATATGTTTTTTTTTTTTTTTTTTTAAGGTGTCCTTTGGGACCAAGCTTTATTGATATTTAATCGTTGATCACATGAATCTACATTTTTTAGTATTACAAATGTATATATCCACCAATTATTCTAAGCTAGGTATCTTTATACGAAGTGCCTCCTACTTATCTTACCTGGGCTTAGTTACCCTGTTGGTTGCTCATGGGTCTCACAGTTAGGCAAGTAGATGCCCCCCAATCTTTCTATATCCCACACATTTCCAGACTGGAATTTTTCAATAACTTATGCCAAGTCCGAAAACAAGTACTTGTGAGCTGAGGCTGCTACAGTTACCTACTAAAGCCCTTGTAGAGTTTATTCAAATCTTGGTACCTACTTTATAGACTCCCTCCTATAGCTCTAGAAACCCAAACTCCCAATCCAATAACCTAGAAGGGCTGGAACCCTTTCTCCGGTTTTCCTTATCAGCCTGGTTGGTATTAGTGCTTTGCCAAACACCTTGGTCCTGTTTGGTTTTCCGGTATCTGATTTATTATCCTTTACATAGTAACTGTCAAAGATCTGTGCTACCTCTCTACTCGGATCTTACCAAGCAGGCTTCTATACCTTGTAAATTCACTAGATTTATTCAGTAGCTTTACTTGGGTTTTGTATAACTTATACATCACACTACATGTTCTACTACCTCCCAGTACAAGCTGGTGCGACTCTCATTACAGGATCTATAACCCAATAGGATACAGTTTTCCAAATACATTTTCTGTAAATTCAAATTTTCATTGCCAGTAGGATTCGAACTCCAGTCCTGCTGCTTGGGAATGTGACAACTTGCCAACTTCACTAAGTCACCACACCCTTAATTAATAATATATTAAACTTGTAAGATTTGTAAACAATATAATTTGAATTGAAAGTTGATTTGCTTATTGAATTACAATTGGTTTAGACCAATGTTTTTAGTATTTACAATGTTTTTTGTTTTATTAATCTGATGGATTAATTTATATTATTTGTTATTGTCCTAACTTGTAATTATTGCATAAATAATTCATAGTAATATTGATTAAAAAAAATAATTATGAATCATCAATATAGTTTTTGCAAAAAGTAACTTTTTAAAGTTAGGATTAGAGTGAATTTTAAAATAACATTAGGATGCAGATGGATTTGTATATATTACAGATCAAATTGGTTTTTTTTAGACCAAGTTAAACTTGATCCAGATTAAATTAATCCCCAACAGAATTTAGAGTTAGGGTGAGCCGAAATTATGTTGATGCCGGCAGGGGTATTTTAGTTGTTCAATTTGACCCAGATTAAGGTTAACTTGACTTAAAAACCAATTTATCCTGTAATATACACAAATATTTGAATATGACCTAATATAAAAATTTTCTACTAACATTAGAGTTTGGGTATTAAATTTCTTTACCAATGTTAGGAGTTAGGATACATTTAAATTTTGCTATTGGCTAAGAGTTTTGACATTTGTTGCTAAATATTTTGGTTGGTAATGCTAAAATAATTAAACGTATATACGTACATATATTATGTTCATATTATATATATTAATAATTATTATATTGTATTAATTTATATGTATCTTATGATTATGATGATCATCACTATTGGTAATAAATAGCAAACTCCATAATAATAGGATTATAAAAAATTTATTTATAATTATATATTTTATTATTATTTTATTTTTATTTTAAAATAAATTTAAAATAGATATATAATGATTTTATAATTATTGTATAACTATATTATAACTATCTTATTACTATTTATTTTATAGCGACCTATTGCTATAGTGATTCTGTAATTAATTAGTAAAAATTGATCACATGAGTTATGTATTCAATCAAACAAGCCAATCTAATATGTGATTCATATGACCAACTTTTATTAGTCAACTATGTACACTTGAAATTTTTATTAAAAAATACAAAATAATTTTTATATCGAATTCACTACCCATCTACTTTTAAAACATAATGAAGACAAATTTACACAAAAGGCCACCAACAAAAATTCATAGTCAAAAGTTCACTAATATAGCTCCAAAATGACAGCTCCAAACTGACTCCAAGGATGACTTTGACAAAATAAGTCTAAAAAAAAGTTAAATGAGAAGGATAAAAAAAAACAACTAAAAGAAAAAAAACAAAATTTACCTTATGATGTCAGAATTTATTCACTGCAATGATCATTATATAGTAACAAAAATTATAATACTAATGATGACACTAACTGTGGCACTAGTGAAACCAGCAAGAGAGAGACAGACCAATAGAACCAACAAGAGACAAACAAACCAGCAAAACCAAAAAGAAAAAAAAGTTGGTTAGTCAATTATATAATTTAAAAAAAAAAAAAAAAATTTTTTTACTAAGAAATTAACAAAAGACATACCAATGAAACTAACAAGAAAGAATCAGACCAGCAAGACTAACAGAGACAGGTCAGTAAAAACTAGCAGAGAGAAACAGATCAAAGAAATCAACAGAAACAGGCAGACCAATAAAACTTACAAAATACAAACAGATCAATGAAACCAACAAAACCAGAAAAAAAAAAAGTTGGTTAGTAATTATATATAAAAACTTATTTCTAGCAAAACCAGCAAGAAACAGACCAACAAAACCAACAAGAAAAAACTAAACCAGTGAGACCAACAAGAGACAGACTAGTGAAACCAGCAAGAGAAAGACAGACTAGAGAAACTAACAAGAAACAGGTAGATTGACAAAACTAACAAGATACAAACAGATCAATAAAACTAGCAAAAGACAAATAAATTAGCAAAACCAGAAAGAAAAAAATGTTGGTTAGTTATTATATAAAAAAAAAAATACTCATTAGTAGCAAAATTAACAAAAGACAGACCAATGAAAGCAACAAAAGAAAACCAAACCAGAAAGACTAACAAAAGACTAACTAGCAAAACCAGCAAGAAATAGACCAACCAGTGAAACTAACATAAAAGAAAACTAATAAAACTAACAAGAAAACTGATAATGCAATTAAACTAATAAATATACATACCAATTTAACCTGACAAAAAAAATAATGATTATTAGATGATGATCATTGTTTATATATAATTGCTAATCTTAAAAATGATTGGCTGATCATATAGAGGTTGCTATAGTGACAGGTCACCATTTATAATTTTTCATAAAATAATTATAAAATAGTTATAAGATAGTTATAAGATAAATATATGATAAATATATGATAAATATATGATAAATATATAATAAATATATAATAAATATATGATAAATATAAGACAGTTATAGATAGTTATAAAATAATTATAAAATAGTTATAAGACACTTGTAAGATAGTTATAAGATATTTATAAAATAGTTATAAAATTATTAATTTTAAAATAATTATAAGATAATTATTAAATATAATTTTAAGGACAATCACTTGTATCAAACTTACAGCTAATGAAAACAAAAACTTGTTGGAGAAAAGTAAAGAGACAACTATACAATAATAGTTTTTACAAAGGTCAAGACTTTTTAAACTTTATTCTAGACTCCTTTGTATATTCAGCATGCAAGTTAAAAGCATTCTTGTACAAGATAACTGGCAGTAGTTGTGCTCTTGTACAAAAACTTTTAATAAAAACACTGTTTCTGCTGACAAAGTTAGATAATAGTTGGTCTAAAGGAGAACAACAAGCAAGTATTCAACACATTCTTTACTGAAGTTTAAGAATACCTAAAACTGAAATCCTCTACCAAACTTCACTCTTTGCACTTTATAAAATTTTTACTAAAAAGTGGAAAAAATGGCATACTCTCAACAAAAGATCAGCTATCAAAAAAGGAAAAACACGTACACATGTATGTATCTACTTTGAGATAAATAGTGTCAGATAATGTGATAAAATTGTATTATTTTAAAATTTTATATAATACAGTACTATATAATATAATACTAAATTATTTTTTTGTACTAAATTATACTATTTTAAAATTTTATAAAATACAGTACTAAATTGTTTTTCAGTACTATGACCAAAATTGCAGATCATTTTACCAGATTTAAAATTGTTTTGTTCTAGATCTGGTCAAATAATTTGCAAATTTGACCAGAATTTTATAAATGATAGGTTCTGTTTTTATATTTAAAATATTGCAAAAGACCTGCTAACCTAGTTAAAATAGCAACCAAAAGTTTCAACCTTGAAGCTCTACTTTAAAACCAAATAGTTTTTTATATTTTTATATTCTGAATATAGATATAAATAACTAGTATATATTTTAGTCTAGTTTATTTGTAGTACTATATAATTTTTACAATCTGGCACAGGTTTAATAGTGCTATCTTTGTATTTTTTCTTTTGTTATCTTTTTTCAATATTTATTTGTTTGGTTTTATTTGTTTAGATAGACCAAAATTTAACATTGAGACATTTTCTATTTTTTTTTTATTCTTTATATTTGTATCATTACTTCGTTTTATAAAAAGAAAAGTTAATTCTGATATGGTGTGTAGCACTAGCCCATGATCAAAAAATAATCTCTAGTAAGTTATAGGCTTGAAGAGAGGCTTGAAGTTCACTAAAGCTAATCATATCTGGTGAAAATATAGGTAAGCTGCTTTGTGAGTAGATTAGAATAGCTATTATTGAAAATATAAATTTCTTAATTTAGTTTAATCCCAAATAAAAAGTGGCAGAATAGCCATATTATAAAAAAATTAAATATAATTTTAATTATAATATTATTATTTTTAAGATAGTTAAAAAAAATTAGCTATGTTTCTGTAAAGTTGCTACTGAGCTCCATCTAGTTTTATCAGGTAATTTAAAAGTTTTATAATTTAATCTATATTTATCTTCTTGATATCTTTTTAAAATTGCTAAAATTGTATGATTTTTAAAATATTTTACTACCAATATTGTATTTGATAATATATTTTTGCCCAATCTAATTTAATAATATCATTAACAAGTAGGATAAAATTATAAGCTAAACATTTTATAAAAGTAATTTTGGATATTTATTATTTAAAATTTTTTATGCTTTTTTTATAATCTGTTATAATTGCTAATACTTTTTTACAATTGTAATTTAAAATAATTTTTTTTAAATCTGTTGCAATATTATTATTATAGTATGAGACAATAAAAAATATTCAATCTATGTCACAACTATGCCCCAAGCCTATGACTCAAGTTGTAATCAGCTACGTATATATGTATGTGATCAAGCCCGTAACTTCAGTTATAATGTTCAAACCTGTGAACCACAAATTTAATAGTTCGAGCCTCAGTTAATCAATCATAATTATTAGATCATAATTAATTAGTGTTTGTTCTTAGAGTTAGTAGGTAGCACACATGAGAAATGTAATCAGTATTAGATTAATCAATTAGTGATTCATAGTAGTATATAGTATATATAATAAATGTAATTATAACTGATTAGCAATTGTAGTATTTTAGAGATAGTATAAGAAATGTAGTCATTGCTTAGTAAGTGTATTTCTAAAGAAATTACATAAAGGTGGATTAGTAATAGTTATATAAAAGAACAAAAAATAGATTTCTTTTCTCTAGTCAGTTTAATAAAAATACTTATCTTGCTTCTTGTTCATTTAATCTACTAGAATTTGGCTATGTTCATTACAGTTTGAACAGACTAACTATGTTTAGTTTCATAAATTGCTCAACCAAAAAAAAAACTATAATAACAATAAAGTAATTTGATAAAAGAACTACTATATAAAATATATATATCTTAATATACAGTATATACAAAGCATAAACAAATAAGTAGCCAACCTGATCTTCAAAATATTCTAGCAGCATTGCATCAAATTCAACAGAAAATTAAGCCTTGCAGCAAAAGAATACTAGTATCTAGGATGAATTAAGCCAACTCCAAATGCAGGCTGAGGCTACTATTTAGCAAAGAGAGCCCAAAGTTAGTCTTTTGAATAAATTTTTAGAACCCAAAATAAACTTAGAGAATTTTAAATCAAGTTCACCTTGTTATCCCTATACAGCACAATTATTACTTGATAATCCAACTCAAATAGAGTTGCTTAGAAGCCTTCTTATAGAATTCACCCTTGTATAGTTTGCACCACTTCTTAAAAAACAGTCTAACCTACTTTTCAACTTCAATAATTTCATTGCTGAATTTGAAACCACTTTTAGTGATTCAGATAAAGCTAAAACAGCAGTAAACAAGATTCAGAAGCTCACTCAAGCAGGAATTGCAAATGACCTGAAATGACCCAAATGACCCAAATGACAAATGACTAGTCATTTGTCATTTCAAAGCCTAAATGACCTTAGAATGTCATTTAATATATGTTAGTTAATATTTTAATACCTTTTAACCAATTAGAATTGGCTAAAAACAAATTAAATTTTATTAAAAATATAATCAATAATCATAGCTATATATCAAAATTAAAATTTTACTAAATTATGCCTTAAGTATAGTTATTTAGAATAATAAAATTGTATATGCTCTAAAATATTTGTAAATTGAATAACTTCTTATTAATTTACTTCCACATTTATATTTATATAAAAAGATTTTAAAAATTTTTATATAAATATAATATATGAAAGTGAATTAATAAAAAGGTATTCATTTTACATAAAAATTTTCAAAATTCACAAAATTTATATATAATCTTGATTAGCTTTAATATATAGCTATGATTATTAATTAGAATAGTAATAGAGCTTAATAACTTTTTTATGAGTAATTCAACCAATAAAACTGCTTTATATGCAAATAACCCAAATGATCTAATGACCCAAATAACCTGGTTATTATTTGATGACTTGAAATCATTTAAATTTTGATTAAATGACCAGGTCATTTACTATCTCTGCACTCAAGAGTTCAAGCCAGCTTCAAGCTATACCTCCAAATTTTAACAAATTTTCAGTGATCTTGACTGAGGTAAGGTAGCATTAATTGCTCAATTTAGGACTGGGCTTAGAAATAATGTCAAAGACCTATTGTTTATCATGAAAGATACCACTTCCTTGAATGACACTATTTCTAAAGCTGTTTGTTGTGATAATTAACTATTTGAAAGATGATTAGAGCACTAGCCACATT